TCTACTATTTTTTATGATACACTTTGCAGTTATTGTAAAATAATAAAAAAGGATTATCTTAAACCTGATCTTGATGTCGCTATATGATAGAATAGCACATTTTTAAAATTAGAAAAGTTTAAATGAATGCATGAAGAACTTGATTTTTTTATTTGTAGTAATAAATAGTTGGAGACATTTTATCTTAATAAAAATGAATGGAATCAAGTACAGTTAATGATTGTCCTATTAGAACCAATGTATAAGGTAACAAAAATTCTTTCTTCAAGTTCATATCTAACTATTAGTAATATTAGATTAACTTTTACAGGAATTCTTTGACATATTGAGATATATATTGATGATCACACATTAGAAGAATCCATTATGGCAGATTCTATATGCAAAAAATTGATGATTATTAGAAGATACTTGATCCCTCTACAACTATTCTAACTATTCTTAATTCAAGTTCAAAATTACTTATTTTTCCATTTGGAGAATAATGTGATAAAGTAATAAATCAATTTCGTTCAAAAATGCTTATATATACACTATCACAAGATTTAGATAATTCAAATTATATTATAGAAAAAAATACAAATGCTAAATCATTTTTTGAATATTTAATTATATAATAACAAAATGAAACACAACTATTAGAAGGAGAATTAGAAAGATATTTAGCTTTACCATTAACTATTATCTTGGTAGCATCAATATATAAACAAATTTTCAATTTTATCAAAAATAGCATATAATTATCTTGCCATTCAAGATACTAGTATACTAAGTGAACAAGCATTTTCAGTTGCATCACATACTATAACAAAAGTTTGAAATCATCTTAATCCTAATACAGCTCATGTTTCTTTATATTTGAAAAGCTGGATAAAACAAAATGCTAATTCAGTTAATAATAAAATTGTTTGAACTTGTTATTTCTGATTTATAGTATTTTTAATAATGCTATTTTATTAATAAAATATAATAAATAAATTTATCAAACAGATTACATTTTTTTAAATAATTATCAAATTTATTTTAAATTTAAGCATATATAAAAACAACAATAGCATTTATTTGCCATTTTATTTTTAAAATAGAGGATTTTTTTAAAATACAAACTGCGGTTATATTAATTAACTAATAAAAATTCAAACACATGATTAACTAAAGTTAAAACCATAGTTACAACTGCAGTTTTAACTTTAAATAACAAACTGAAGGTTAGCTCAATTTAAAGACTAAACTGGCAGTTTTTGAACTGAACTGAACTGAACTGAGTCAAACTGATAACATCCTTAATAGGTGATTTTTTTGGGATCCTTACTGTGAAACTGATTGAAAAATGCATAAAAGGGATGTGAGTTCATCTTTAGCTTCACTAGCAATAAATCATACTAATAAATTGTAAAAAATTACCTGTGATCTATACCTGAACATATTTTTTTTTACTTTACTCTGAAAATATGTCTGCACTCGTTTTATAAAACAACATCTTGTAGCATATTTTTAAAGATTTTACAGTTTCTATTCTTCTTAACGCCTATTTCTTGATTTACGTTATTAGAAACTAATTCTCCTAAACATAATAATAGAATTTTTAATGAACTTTCTGCACGTATGACTGAAATTAATGGTATTATTACCGCAGAAATTGAAAAAAATAAGACATATGATGGAAGTATTACTGCAGAATTTGAAAGTCTCCTTACTGATATCTACAAAAAACTTAGCACTAAAGTTAACACTAAAATCATCAATGAACTTTTCACACATATTTCCAAAATTAATTCTACTTTCATTGCGAAGCTCAGCAAAAATAATAATAAACTTACCACAAAAATTAATAAAATCAATTCTCGTGATATTGGCTATACCTCTAAGGCGCAGAAAATTTTATCAATAGTCAATAATATGACCACAAGACTTGATAATATTGAAGAAGCCTGTCATAAAGATTTTTGCAATATTTCATCTGAATTCAATTCGATCAAGACCTTTATTGAAACTCTTCAAAATGAAATGATCTAATGTTATGCAATTGCCTAAAGGCTTCAGGTTAATTTTGATTAACTGAGTATGGCTAACCATTCTTTTATTAGCAAAAGTTCTTCTAGTTGATTATCTGATTCATCTTTTAAAGAAAATAGAAATTACTTTAAGCGTGTTTTTAATATGGTAAAGGAAGTTAGGGATACTATAGATTATACATTTGAAACTGTTAAACGTGAAATTCATCAACTTACTGGGAAAAATATTGGAAAAGAAACTGTAAAAATTTTTATTATGGTGAAGGGTATCCAAAGTTTAGAATAGTAATGTCAATTATAAGATGGGTAGATAGTAAAGAATTTAGTAGTAGTATAAATAATAATGCGAAGTAGTGAGAAAGAACTACTGTATTTTAGCTTAGAGATCAGTGTGATTCCTCCTTTTAAACAAGATTTACTCTAATATCTTTTATTGGTTTCATTTTTTACTTAACCGGCTGACTCCTTTCTCACATATTATTTATAAAAATATAATAAAGATTTTACTTTGAGTTTTTAAACGTGTTTTGTGTTTTTATAAGTAATATTAATATTTATTTATTTTCGTATTCTACATAATTTATGCTATAAAAAATATAAATGTATTATACTAATAAAAAATCTTATTCCTGTTGCTTGTCTGATCCTTTACCATAATTGATGGTAACATTAATCATATTCACATTTTGCAAAAAAGAAAGATACTTAGAATTACAGGTCTGGAGTTAATAGGTATTTTAATGGATAGTGGATAGTATTACTGGGCTTGACGCTAAAAAAGAGGTCTCGAATAAATCTATAATATCTGATGTTCTAGTATTTGATGAGTAAGATGATGAATTCATCTTACTTTTTCTTTTAACATTCTTGTTATGTTGTTGATCGAAAGATAATTCTAGTAAATTAGATTGTGTTAATAAACAGACACGAAAAAATATCTTCTACAGAAATATATCAGGCTTTAACTAGAATAACATTGAAAACTTTTTATATATTTTTTCTCCAACTAAGCTCTTTTTGTCTTCAGTACCTTCTCTATATCTTTTTACTGTCTAATAAATTAGGATAAATCGAACTTAGTTCTCTCAAATTTTAAGTAAAATCCAAGCAGAAATACTTACATTAAAGCTTTCATGAGATTTAAGAACTTCTTGTGACAGTTCTTATCCAGAAAATAGTTAGTATTTTTCTGTTCGTTCAATTTATTAATGATATTGTCCTAGAAAGCTCGTTTCTTCTTATTTGGGATGGCATAATATTTGAAATTTTTTTGTTTATGTTTGTTGATAAAAAGACATCAGACCACTCAGTAGAAGAAAACATGTTTACATTAGTAAGAGAACTTTATGAAAATTGGACCAGTTTTATGAAAATATATCGAATGATATATTAGATTATTATGAGGTAAAATAATTGATCAATATAATAATAATAATGATGACTTAGCCATTTTTTCAAATCCATATGATATGTTGATCTCGTGATTTGAGAAACTATTCAGCATTGTAAAAATGCCAGGAAAGTATCGTAAAACTGTCATGAAACTAGCAGAGATTTAAGGAGATCGCATGTAATACAAATTTTATAGTTTAACTGTCTATGGTGATCGGGTTTAATTTAACTAAATCATAACGTCAAGAAAAAATATGAATCTGATTTTTACCTGAACAAATCGAATAAAAAATGAATCTGATATTTATTATAATATACTTGTTACAAACTGATATAAATCAATATAAATTACTATAAATGATATAAATCACTAAAAACACTATTTTATAGCTTAAACATTTATAAAGATAGATTTAGATAGTAATATCTACTATAAGCTTTGTCCTAATTGTGATGATAAATATAATGAGATAATAAAAGCAATACATCTTTTACAATATAAATATAATAATGAAACATCAGAAATGTGATGCTTTCGTATTTGTGATCCATTTAGAAAAATACTTGAAGAGAGTTCAGAAATGTTTTCTAAAAATGGATATATTCGCATGTATGTAAAGTTTTATGAAGATGATAAAGGATTCCATCTTAGCAGAAATCTAACAAATTATATATATTGTAGTATGTATGACTTCCTAGTATTCATTCCTGAAAGGCTTATAGGCGAATTTCTCTATCGAGATGGCCACTTAAAGAGATGTATTGTTAGCAAAGCTAACCCAATTGAAGATGTAAAAAGAAAAGAATTTCTCCAAGCTATTGATAGGAGGAAATTTCAAATCTAGCAATATAAACAGTATATATTACAAGAAGAGGCTAAAATGAAACGTCTTTAGCTAGAGTTTTCATCCTAATCTACTTCACATTCAGAAAAGGATAAATTGGCATTGGTATCATATAATTATGATGGTCATTTAACTAGTTATAAAGCTTACCTTTCGGCTAAAACAACTATAGCAAAAATACTATGCTAAGTGCTTCAAATTTTGAGCCAGCTTATATTTTACCTGCCAAGCAAGAAATGATTTTGCCAACTTCTTATTAATTATCGGATTCCAAAGGGATCATAAGTGAAATATTTATCTCGTCTCAATATGCAAAACAAAATAATTTACTACCATCCATAAACTATCTTAATCAGCCAGCATTAAGATTGAGAAATGAGACAAAAATCACGATTGTTTAACTGACTAATTCTGAGAAATATTTTAAAAATAGACAATTACTTTCTTGATATAACACAATTTATTGGATTATGATTTATCAATTTTTTTTGCAAAATGAATAAATAAAATAATATATTGTTCAGTCACAATGCATGTGGCATGTGCGACGCTTTTTTCTCGAAAAAAGATTAATAATAATAGTTTACTTTTGAGTCTATGATTGGCCAGTTGGCCTTTTATGCTTGTGCGATAAAATAATTTTATAAAACACATTATTAGTCACGTGTATAACTGATTTGTGTGACAATCAGTTTTATATATATACCTATATACCTCCCAGTTTAAAAAGAAAAAACGTGTATTAGTCATGTCCAGGAATCATGAATATTTTGAACAAAACCCTGAGACTTGGAGTATTATTGATTTCTTAAATGAGTGTGAAGTAGAACTGTATGATGCAAAGATAAATAAGTACACAAAAAGTCTCAAAGCTATCGCTAATGACAAGCAAGAAGAGAGGATTAAAAAAGCGCAATTACTTCTCGATAGTTTTATGCTGGCAAATAAAGATTCTTTTAAATCGTGATATGAACGGAGGGCCTGCTAGGTTGTCGGTCATTTAAGGCTGTTAGCTGAGTCACAAAACTGGTGCTGGCGCACAGGTGACTTATTAGGTTATCTGATACCAAAGGCTATTAGCTGATTTAGCACTAGACCCACTTAGGCACAGTTAGCCTGTTAGGTTAGCTGACGTTTCAGTGGGATAGTAAATATTAGTTGTAAATTATTAATTTTCAAAATTTTCACGCTAGGGTTTTCAACCTGATCGTACAAAAGCAAAATAATGGGAAAGGAAGTGCATGCAAAAGCAAGTTCACATCCACTAACTGAATCTAAATGCGGGGACTATTATAAATAGAGGAACAGTTAAAAATATAAATAATGAAGTAAATCTTATGTCAAGAAGAGATCAAAATGAGGTACGGGTGTATAATTTATTAATGAGAATTGACAGAATTTTGTCTGTCTAATAAATTTTAATTCTTTCTTTATGTATTTAGTCTGATGATGATTTTTAACTTCCAAAAAAGCAGAAAAAGCAGTTATCTCTATCGAGAAAGGTTAGGATGTTTATAAAGCCTTTTATTGCATTGAATTTTATGCAATTATTTTTAATGATTATTATACTGTATCTACAGAATAAAGAGTCGGTTGGTTCAGCTGTATCTAAGAAGGTTAGTATAAAATGCATCCCTATGATTATAAGGATCTGTTACTGTGAATTCTTCTCAAAATTTTTTTGCGTAAATAGGCCAAAACTATGAAAGATACGCCATTATCATCACAAGGAGTACCAAATCCATCATCATCAAGTTTGTTATACGAACAGGTCAAAACTACTAACACGAATGCGAATGATGATGACAGTGATTTCATTAGTAGTAATAAGAGCTCAATTTCAAGATCACATTGGAAAGATACATCATCATCAAGTTTACAATCTTTAGAAAGTACGGGTTCTAACAGAGGAGATACGAAAATGATGGATGAAGTTAATAATCCTGAGTATAACAGACAACATACTCCACCTCATCAAATTTACTCTACATCGGAGAATCAAAATTTACTTACACGATTAAGAAATGAGAAACAGCGAGTAAAATTCACAATGTAGGTAAAATAGGTGAAACGTATTTTGTTAAAGTTAACGTATTATATTATTAATTAACTTTATTGGCTTAAGGAGCCCATTTGCTCGAATATAGTTGACATTACAAATAAAAACTTAATGGAAAGACTGCAATACCAATATGATCACTATTAGGAGCCTGTCATAAATGATACAACCAAATATATCGATGAACTAATTAAAAATGTGGGGTTTTAAGGATTTGTTACTAGTAATTTCTTTCTCTCATAATCTTACCACTTCCTTACTATATTTCAAAGCGATACTCGCAATGACTTACAGAATAAACTTTTACTTCTATTCATCCCATCTGGTGAAACTTATTCCTTTAGTAAATATTATAAGATGCATTGGATACAATGGTTTGCTAACAAATTGTGAGTTAAATCTTTTATTTAATTATTTCTCATTTCTTTTGCTTTATTATATTAAGACTGGCTACAATAAACTGGTTTTATTATCTAGATCATTATTTTTTGAAGCTCCTCAGAATCCACTTCTAGATAAGAATTCTGAAGGGTGGTTAAATTGTCATATTTTTGCTCCTCTAATTAACGATTGTTTTTTAATATGTGAGAAATCCATGTACAGTAGCGGTCATAAGTATCTGACCGTCCAAAATTGTCTAAAATTATTATATAACTACCCCTTAAATTTTCCAGAAATATAATGTAACACAATATATGATCACCTGTAAATTT